CACCACCACCGCCACCACCACCATGACAGCCCACCACCACCGTCGTCCTCGTCGACCCTCCCCGCCGCCGCCGCCCGCCGCCGCAGGCGCCGGCGCCGGCCCAGAAAAGGAAACCGTCGTCCCCGCCGCCGCCGCCGCCAGCCGAGGAGAGGGAGAGAGGAGAGGTAGGGGGGGGGGTCGAAACCCCCACCCCCACCCTCCGTCACGGGGAGGGGGGTTCGAAAACCCCCACCCCCCTCCATCCAGGGGGGGGGGTCCGGATCCACCCCCCCCCTTCCAAGCGACCACAGAACGCGCTCTTTCAATGATGATGATGATGATGATGATGCTGCTGCTGCTGCTGCTGCTGCTGCTGCTGCTGGTGGTGGTGGTGGTGGTGGTGGTGGTGGTGGTGGTGGTGGTGGTGGTGGTGGTGGTGGTGGTGGTGGTGGTGGTGATGGTGAGTGTGCAAACATGGCGTGGTGATGATGACGACCAATGATCACGATGGGATTGTAAGAATGATGATGACGATGTGATGGTGATGACAAGCGTGAAAGGAGCAGAGTAAGAGAGGGTGAGGTGTGCTTTCCTGCGCGGTGGTGCCTAGAGAAAACAAGAAGCCCACTTAGGATGTGGGTAGAGAACGCCCGCCGCGATGTTGGCCACGACGTGAGGGAGTCTGCGAAGAAGGCCCTCCCCTCTGCTGTCCCCCTTGGGCGCGACGCCAACTCGCAGAAGCGCCCCCAAAGGTCACGACCACCCGGATCAATGTTTGATGGCCTATGTAGAAGGCAAAAATCCACCCCCATAAGAATCACACCGACAAGCGAAGCCGTTTAGCAAACGCACCCACGGAAGGAATCGAAAAGGGCAGGACTGTTTAGTAAACGCCCAGGGCCGTTTAGTAAGCGTCAAATGTTGGGTCCGGGTGGTTTTTCCTTCCTTGACTATGAACCCGACGACGGGCCCTGGAGGCCGAAATCGTGGCAAAACGCCCAGGCTGATAACAACACACCGTCGCAGATCTGGGCTTCCGACGGCCAGAGTCAGGTCGGGCACGTCCTCCTGCAGGCGGATGTGGGGCGAAAAAATGCTGAGCACTAGTCAAAAAAAATCGCCCCCTGACTATTCTTGGACTACTTTTAAGTCGGGCGTGTCCCCCTACGGGGGGACTTTCGACGAAAAATAAAAGATACTCCAAAAATTGTCCAAAATGATCAGGAAATCTTCAAAAAATAGTCCCCGGACTATTTTTTGACTATTTTTGAATGTTCCTCCTGTAGAGGGACGGGCCCGACTTAAGACTACTCCTGAGTGTTCCCCCTGTGGAGGGACGTGCCCGAATCCAGGCCAGAGGCCCCTCCCGAGCCGTCTGGGAAGGGCCGCCCCCTCTGCCCTTCCCCCCCCTCCCCAGTGCGCGCCGCCGACCGAGCGGCGTCCGTGACGCCGAGTTCCGACACGGCGTGGATCGCTCCACTCCCAAGAAGAAGAAGAAGAAGAAGAAGAAGAAGATATCGCAAGACGCTCTTCGGCGGCGAGCGAGGGGGGGGTGTGAGCAGGGGCGGGCCTTCTGAGAAGTCTCGGCAGTCCCCCGGCCTTCTGGAAAGCTTTCCGAGCCTTCCCTGAAGACAGAAGAGACCTCTCAGGAGGCGCGAGGGCTTCTGAGAAGTCCCGCCGCCTTCTGAGAAGGCCTTCTCCTTCTCACTTCCCCCCCTTGCTCGCCGCCGAGCTCTAGAAGAACAACAAACAAAAACCGAACCAAAACAAAAACAAACAAAAATGCATAGAAACACGAGCGTTTGGCGCTCCGCGCGGGTTTCTTGGATCGGCGCTGGGCCCCCCTCCTTGGCGCGCGGAGCGCGCCAGGGGCTTCGCGGGGGGGCCAGCGCGGATGCGGATACGGATGCGGATGCGGATGCGGATGCGGCCTGAGTCGAGGCGCCGCGGGGGCACTGCAGGGGGGCGCCGGGGCGCCGCGGAAGGATGACAAGGTGAAACAAGGGAGGGTGAAGCAGGGGATGGGGTAGAGATAGGAACAGAAAAAGAAACGGCACATAAAAGAAATCCCAGAGATCCGCGCGGATCCAGGAGATGCGCGCGGAGCGCCAAAAGTTTGTGTTTACGCCATTTTATCTCTTCTTCGACGTTCGACATCGGCCGACGCTGGGCCGCCGCCGGCGCTCCACCTTCCAACGCCCGCGCCGGAGCCGTCCCCGCGCCGCAGCGACACGAGCCTGCCGTCGAGCATCGAGGACGCCTCTCGGCGAGAGGCGCAGCTGCTGGGAGCGCATCCCCCGAGGCCGAAGAGCCCTCGGGATCACCAGGGAGCCCGTCCGGAAGCCCCCGCTGAGGCCGCACGTCGGTCGGAAGGAGCGCAGTCGAGGTCTTGTGGGAAAGGACGGGCGGTGAGGACGCAGGGGCCTTGGACGCCGAAGTTGGCACTCTTCTCGGGCGGCGGACTGCCAACACCCCGAAGGGAAGGGCTGGCCGGTGAAAACCGCCAAGGGCGGGCCGCAGAGGCAAGGACGCAAGGGCACCCTGAGGACATCCGCGCGTCCTCACTACGAGCTCTGACAGCAGGTGAAGACACGAAGCAGGAAGGCGGGTGAAGTCAATTGGGTTCGGGCCCTCCCAGAGAACGAGAAGCGGATCAAAGCCGTGCCGATCCTCGAGGCAGGACTGTGCGGGACTGTGCGGAGAAGACGTCCCCAGCTCTGTGAGCACAGTGGAGCCTTGAGGCTTGAGGGGGCCCCTCTGCCCGAGGGGGGGGCCCACGAAGAAACACTCAGCCAAAAAAGAACGGAAAGGCACTGGAGAAGCAGAGTGGGATCGGGGCATCCAGAGATGCCTCCCTTTCAGCGACCGGCGTGCAGCGTGGCGCCCGACCCCTCCCTCGTCGACCCCACCCCCGGGCGCGCCGCCGATCCCTCCCCTCCGAACCCATCGGCGAGACGGACCCCCCCCCCTGCCAAAGAGATGAGCCAGCGAGGGCCACTTCCAGGGGAGCTGCGCGGCCGAGAGCTGTCTGGAGGGACACCCCCCCGCCTCCACAAAAAAAAATACCCAACGAGGGCCACCTCCAGGGGAGGCGCGCGGCCGAGCGCTGTCTCGAGGGACACCCCCCCGCCTCCACAAAAAAATACCCCACGAGGGCCACCTCCAGGGGAGCTGCGCGCGGCCGAGAGCTGTCTGGAGGGACACCCCCCCGCCTCCACAAAAAAATACCCCACGAGGGCCACCTCCAGGGGAGGCGCGCGGCCGAGAGCTGTCTCGAGGGACCCCGCCCCCAAAAAGAGAAATAGCCGGCGGAGGCCACCGCCTCCGAGGGGGAGGCGCGCGGCCACGGGCTGCGGACGAAGAGGAGCCAGCCCCCGAGCGCCGCAGAGGGGCCGGAGTGCCAGGAGGGGCCCGAGAACGGCACAAACTTCTTTTCCTCGGCGGCGAGGCAGAGGTTGCTGCACCAGCGGTCGAGCGAAACGGGGCCACCGAAGAGCGAATTGCCCAGCGTGCAGGAGGAGAGACTGGGACAGACAGGGCGGCCGCGGAGGCGGGGGTGGAGGAGGGGGGGGGCACTCGGGGGCGGAAGGCTTCCATCCCGAGTGCGCTGGCGCGGCCAGCCTCGGCAGCGGGGACCGTGGAAGCACAGCGTCGAGGACACACAAACAAATACACCCACACACACCACACACACACGCACACACATACACACACACACACACATACACACACAATCCCAGGATTCCCTACTTTTTCTCATACTTTCTTGATTTCCGTCTGCGCTCCCACTTCGCATAGTGTCCCATTTTTCCCTGGGAATCGACGATTCTCATTGTGTCTGTGTGTGTTCCCTCCTGACGTGGGCGAGATGACGGGAAACGTTAGGGAGGGACCAACTCAGGGAGGAGAGTATCGAGCTGGAATCGGTGATACATCGTCGACAGACCTCGCTCAGAACAAATTGTAGGAAATCACGACCCACACTTTCCATTTCAGAGAAGCGAACGGATCGAGCGGAAACGGCACGACGAAGTGCAGGAAAGCACGAACAACGCTTTCCTACCATTGGGTTGGCCACGATCCACCCCCACCTACGATACCGAAACCTGCATCGCCGTTGCCTAAATCGCCGTTAGCGTGTCTACGGAACTCGAACCCGAAACGTTTCCCCCCTGAGCCCATGTCCCCCTAACATGAGGGATGCTGTTCTGTCCCACCCCTCCTCTCCTCCTCCCTCCTCCATCCTCCTCCCCCCTCCTCCTCCTCTTCCTCCTCCTCCTCCTCCTCCTCCTCCTCCTCCCTCCTCCTCCTCCTCCTTCCTCCTCTCCTCCTCCTCCTCCTCCTCCTCCTCCTCCTCCTCCTCCTCCTCCTCCTCCTCCTCCTCCTCCTCCTCCTCCTCCTCCTCCTCCTCCTCCTCCTCTCCTCCTCCTCCCCTCCTCCTCCTCCTCCTCCTCCTCCTCCTCCTCCTCCTCCTCCTCCTCCTCCACTCTCCTCCTCTCCTCCTCCTCCTCCTCCTCCTCCTCCACCTCCTCCTCCTCCTCCTCCTCCTCCTCCTCCTCCTCCTCCTCCTCCTCCTCCTCCTCCTCGAACTCCTCGAGCCTTTCACCCACAGCGAATCCGCTCCCGCTCCTGGGCGGGGTGAACCATCGGGCCCATGCCGGCGATCCGTTGGCGGTCGGGGGTCGCCGCGTCCCCCCCTGGCCTTGCCCGTGGCAGTCCCTCCTGGGCCCGCCAAGTGCGACGAAAAGAACTCTCCGCGAGGCCCCGAAAGCCGCGCCCCTGCCACCCTCGATACCCGATCCGCGATCCTCGATCCTGGGCCTCCTCGATCCTCGATTCCCGATCCCGGGCCTCCTCGATCCTCGATCCCCGATCCTGGGCCTCCTCGATCCTGGGCCTCCTCGATCCTCCATCCTCCATCCTCGGCCTCCTCGATCCTCGATCCTCGATCCTCGGCCTCCTCGATCCTCGATCCTCGATCCTCGGCCTCCTCGAGCCTTTGCTCTCCCCGACCCCCCCCCCCCCGCCCGCCGCGGAGGCCAGGGCGACCGCGAGGCGCCAAGCGCGGACGTACTGCTGCTTGTTGCGACCGGGGGGCGGGGGCGGGGGGGGGGGAGGTCGGGGCAAAAGGGGGGGGAGGGGGAGAGAGGGGGAGGGAGCGGGAGAGGAGCGGGAGAGGGGGAGGGAGGGGGAGGGAAGGGGTGGGAGAAGGGGGGGGGAGAGGAAGAGGGAGGGGGGGGGCTGGGAGAGCGGGAGGAGCCTCGAGGCTTTCGGGCGCTTTTTCGTTGTCTCTCTGCGGTTTGGGGGGCCGCGGGGTGCGCTTCAGCAGCCGCGCCTCGCCCAGGGCGCTCCGGGCCCTGGAGCGCCCCCGAGCGGCCGCCAGAGGCCCGACGGTGGCGGCGGGAAAAGTACGACGGACGGCTTCTGGCCAGCCTGCGGCCACCAAGAAGCTGTTGGTCATTTTTGGCCCGCCGTGGCCCGCGGGATGCCACCGGGTAGCCCCATGCCGAGGATAATAAAGTACCCCCCCCCTTAAGTCGTTAGAGTTTTTTTTTTATCGCCGCCCTTAAGTTTGGAGTTTTTTTAAGTACGACGGACGGTTTCTGGCCAGTCTGCGGCCACCAAGAGTCCTAGACTGGCTCTGGGACAACCAGAAAGCCACTCAGGATGAAAAGCCGGTCGCGGGGAAAACGTCCAGCGAGGAGGAGGCGGAGGAGGAGGAGGAAGGAGGTCCAAGCTTTTGGTCGTTTTTGGCCCGCCTTGGGCCGCTGGATGCCACTGGGTACCTCTGCTGACTCGGGGCGAGGGAGGGGGAGGAGGAGGGGCTGAGAGCTGAGACGCGGGCGGGTCGGGCGGGTGGCAAAGGGGGGTGGCCCAACTGGCGGGCGAAAATAAGGGCCCTAAAGGGGCCCTTCAGGGCCCCTTGTGGAGCCAGAAGGTGCCCTAAGGGGGCCTCCCAGGGCCCGTTTTCTTCACCCCCCATTTGGGTGGGTCACACGACGGCGAGGACCTGATCTGTCGGAGCCGCTCATCCGGCTCGGCGGAGGAGGGCAGCGGAAACTGCACGAAAGCGCAATGTGTAGAACGTAACAATGACATATCATCCAACACGCGATGCAACCAGGAATCGTTCGTCTTTGACTGTCTTGCAGCCACGCACTCTGCGCGGTGCAAGACATGCAGCGAAGCTGGTGCCGATCGAGGCACCCGAGCGAACAAACGGAGCCTGGATGCTGGAATCAGCGCATCGACGTTGGGCCTGCCAACTCTTGAAAGCACTTGCAGATCAATGGGGCCACCTGCGTCAAGCCGAGGGGATTTCAGAATCCCCCGGCACTTTTTCACGCAATGGAAAAGCAAGCGGGCGACGCCCTCAGAACGCAGACTAAACCAGGTACGCGACGAGAACAAAAACGAGTTTATCCTGAGCGAGTCGAACAGCAACGCAGCCTCGATATCGCCTTGCGGGACCTCTCGGAAAGCATTCGAGAGTTCCTCAATCGCCGCAGCTGCGGCCTGCTCCCAATTCACCAGCCCAGGGCCCACCAGGGCCCCATCGTCCAAGACGGCCCCGAGGCATACCAAACTAGGGACCACGCGCACGAATGATTCCTGGCCGATCACAGACCCCACCGGAAACTTGGCCTGCAAGGTAGCATGAACCCAATAGCGAAACTGGGCAGAGCTAGGGCCGCGAGCAGAAATCACCATCTCCTTCTCCCAAGCTTCATACGCGGCCGGAGCCCCACCATAAAGAAGGGAATTGATACAGATACGGCAAAAATGCCCCGCCATCTCAATCAACTCACGCATGGGAGCCACGAGCACGCAGCCAGCATCGTCAGCGCAAACAAGCGCGGGCAAGGCCTGCAGCGTCAAAGGACCATCTTCGCCGCTGAATATGTCGCGAGCTGGCGCATTGTAAAAGAGCTGCACGTCGAACTCCTCGAGCCCCCGAGCGACTTCAACCGCGACCGCAGCAACGACGCAAACGAAAAAGGCGCCACCTAGAGGGGAGCGCCTGGCCCGGCGCCCCGACGCGCGATAGCTCTCGTCGGCCCCGGGGACAGGGACCTATCGAGTCGAGACGCCTCCTGGACAAGATGTCCGACACGATTTGCCACGGCATGCATCCACGGACTGGGGGCCTCGGACAGCCTCAACTCGAGAACAGGAAGGTAGGGAGGCGGAAGGCCCGCCAAGGTCAGCAAGAATCCAGATCGCCCCTGGAGGCGACAGCATCGAGAACCAGCTCGCGAATTGCAGAGAGGTCGGCACGCATTACATCGCCGGACGCCGCCGCTTCGGTCGCAGATGTCCGAGCAAGGTCCTGGCGGCCAGGGTAGACGCAGAGGCTCCACGGCCAGCCGCGCCCGCAAACTGATGACCCTCGCCAGCTCGCTTCATTGCTGGCAAGAGCAGGCCTCGAAAGCAGGAGCGATACCTCGGCCCGATGCGCGAGGCCGCGGGCACTGATCTGGAGGAGGAGGGCGAAACAACTCCCCCATTGGCTCTTAGAAATGCGCGGGGGAAATACACCTTTCCACTGGATGGGCCCACAAGCCAGCAAAGCCGACTTAACCACCAGATGATAATAAATCTTCGCAACGATAGGCGCGAAAGATCGAACGAAGGCCCCAGGTAAACGGCCGGCCCCTGCAGCCCCCTCCATTGTTGCCCTGAGGGGCCCTTCGAACCTGAGGGAGGCGGGAACGCTGCCCGCGCCCATCTCCGCGAGGGAGCACGCGCGCACCTCGCCGCGACAAGAGCCCTGAAAGGTGCCGGTCGAGATCTGAGCGGCCCGCCCCTGCCCGGCGAAGTAGCCAAGCCAGATCCGACTGGCGCCATCAACGGCGGCGACCAATCTTTCGTCGGGCAGGGCAACTGCCAGTGAAGTCTCCACTTGTCTGCGCGTCTTGCCGGTGGCCCCCGCGGAGCAGAGGGCCGCGGGGGCGGCCTCGAACTGCTTCTCGGACCTGGAATCCGAAAAGGTTTTGGCCAGTTGCATCACCTTCTCCGCAGCATCGGCCCAGGCCCTCAATTGGCGCGCGCGCAAGCGGGGCGAACAGACAGCGTTGAAAGGAAACAAAAAAAAAAACGATGTTGCACGCAGATAGCAGCCAGAGCGTCGCACCATCTTAAAGGCCCTTGGGCGCGCAATTCCCCAGTCGGTTTGCCGACTACGAAAAGATGAGCTGCCACGTCAGCGCTGAATCATCCCCTGAAACACGCGCCGGCCAACGCGCCGGCAGCGCATAGCGGGGGCGCATCCCACGCAGGAGGAGGACGCGATCCTATACACTCAACGCAAGCACGGCGACAATTCGCGTCTGCGAGCTTCGTCGAACTGGAAGCGCGCGAGGAAGCGGCGTCGAAAGAAACTGCAAGCTGCACCAACAGGTGGTCCTGTGCAGGCACTGCCAGTTCCACCTAGCGGTCAAGCCGAACACCATGAGCACGAAGAGATAGGCCCCAGAGGAACAGATACGCTGTCTAGTCTCCTCGCGGGAAATCAACCCCGTAAGAGGAGCCCAAGGAGCCGCTGCAAAAAAGATCGCCATGGAACGCGGACGGCACCCCCGAGCACGCGGCAAGCAACGCCGGGCGCTACATGCCACCGCCATCACTCAGAGAAGCCGCTGCCAGAGGACCGACAGACGGAGACGGGGTAAAACCACGCGTCGCATTCGCACCCAGCAGCCAAGTACGCGCGACGACGAGCGCTCCATTCCCACCCCCACACCCCACCCCCGAAACCCCACCACGCGGAGCGGCATTCCGAAATAGATTCGGGGCGTGGAGCGCGCAACAACGAAGGCGACGTTGAACGTTTCAACCTTCACATTGACGCAAAGGAGAGTTGGCGAAGCCGCGGTGACAGCCGCGTCGCGCAGAGAAGCAACAGAGCGAGGCCTACCGGGACGGACTTGGAAGTTCCACCTGAACCACACGGAGCACGCGAAGGGGGCCCCTGGAGAAGGAGGACCATAGCGAGCCAAGCAGGAACTCACAATAGCGCAGCAATGCCTCGGCATCCCTGTCTTTGCCAGCCCGATGCCGCCCAGCCTGGCGCGCAAGAACTACGATGCTAGCTGCCCAGGCCGCCCTGCTGAGCATTGGCCTGCCAGAATGGGATCGCCCCGCTTCGTCTGCTGCATGGCCCGACAATTGGCGAGGGCAACGGTAAGCTTCAATCTGACAGCAACAGCGTTTGCAACAGCATCGCCCAGCCGCGCGCCACCCAACGGAACACCACGATACTTAGACGCGCCGGCCGCGAGAGGAATCTGCGCGCCAAGCACATCGCCAGACCTGAGACGAAGCTCGCCCTGCGATAGCGGGAGAAATTACGATCGGATTATTGGGAAACTGCGCCGAGCTAGGCCCGCGCCGCAGAGCTCGGACCCCTCCGAAAAGACACCCAAGGGCACCAAGGGGGCTCCTCCGCGATACCCAGCGAGACCAAAGCCGCGAGCGAGTCAAATCGCTGAAAGGGTCCTCATCGCGGGCTTTCGCGCGCACAAAAACCGAACCGCCTACCGTTTCTCTCGAAAACCGAGGCTCTCAGGGCCTGAGGAAGCCCGCCCAAGGTTGGAAGGCCCCATTGACCAGGTGCAAATTGAGGGCGGCGAGGTCATCGAAGGAGAAGGCCACCCGAGCAATCCCAGCCTGCAACGGCCAAGAGAGAACACGCTTCAGCCCGAGACACTCCGCCGACAAACGAACCTGACTAGCTGAAAGGCCAAGGGGCCCGAGGTCGGAGGTGCCTGCAAAGCAACACAGAAGCGACTCGCGACCATCACGCGCAAACGCAAAGACTGCAGCTGCCCAGGCTGGCGGAGCAGACTCCATGGAAAGACCACCAGTCCCGTCCGTCTAAATTTTGACAGACTTGACATGCTCGGCATTAGAAGGTGGGGGGGAACAACAAAACTCCCGCGATGCTGGGATTGCAACCAAACTGGGCTCGCATCACGTTAGAATCGAGACTGCAAGATGCGCGGTCGAAAAAGTCGTCTCAGACGGCCGGCTGCCTGACCCCGTGCTCGCTGCCACGCGGAATACGGGGGCCCCGTTACCCCGTCCAGATCTCCCTCTGAAGCCGGGGGGGCCGCAACCTCAACGGGGGTGTCGATGGGATCCTTGCTCGCAGGCGGCATCCGAGACCCTTTTCTCTCTTGGCGAAGGTGAAGGCGATCTGCCTGATGTGCCCGCGCGGCGTCAACGAGGCTCGGGGAAGCGCTGCCTGGGCACGAATGACGCCGGCAGTGAGGCTGTTGCAGATGCTGCCGCCGCTGCTGATGCTATGGTCGCCGCTGTCACGGTTGGCCGCGCAGCCTGCAATAGCTCTTCGTGCTTCGCCATCAAGATATTCATCTGCGTGGCGACGTTGAAAACGGCTCGGTCGTTGACAGCTTGGACATTCAGGAGGTTCTGATTGGGGCCCTGGAACTGCCCCTGGAGGCCAGCAGCTCCTGGGAGGGAGGTCGGAAAGGTCGCGATATGCCTGACCTGCGAGGCCGACGCCTTCGGAATAGGCGATTGCACCACTTCTAAGTTGGGACACGACTGCTTCATAGGCGCATAGGTCGGCGGAGAAGGCCGTGGAGCCTGCTATTCTTTGACCTTCCACGTCGGCCTCCATCTGGTGTTCTGGGGGGTTAGCCTGGAGTTCCACGAGCACCCCCACATGCTTGCTCACCCACTGCAGGGACGCACCCCTTCGGTTCTCGAGCGCGCAGAGCTCCGACGTCTGACTGGACCGCCTGCATCGAGCATTGGCTCGCGCAAGAGCGGCAGACTGACCATCGACCTACTCCGCACAAGGCCGACAAAAATGCATAGAGGCAAATACAGCAGCATACCAGCCTCTCTCCTCGTCTGCAACAAACCCAGCACCCCGTTCAGTCTGATCGCACCAGCAAGAGCCCATAGCCCTGAACGCCGCTTGGCCACGAAGGCCTTGCGATCCTGAGGGGGCGCAGACTTTGGAAGCTCATGAGGGTATCTGGGGCGAGCTCTTGCCTCTTGAGGAAGAGCAGGCAAAACTGACACTGACAGCGACTGACCCTGATCTGGCTATGAAAAACCGACAGAACTGACGCGGAGAACGAGAAGCCAACCTCAATGAAGAATCCTCGCCGCTGCCCTCGCCTTTCGGCGAGCGTGGTTTGCCCTCGCCACGGACTTGACTCGAGTCCATAGGCCGAGGTGACCGCCGTCCACGCTGTGGTCTTTTTGCTTCCGGGGCGATCCACGGCGTCGAACAAGAACGGCAGCTGTCCCCTTCGTCGACATTGGACACGCCGCAACGGGAACACAGCCAAGAACCTGACATATCTGGTGGGCGGGAACGCTGTGAAGAATGCTGCTGGGCCGATAGCTCACGAGCTGCTTCAACGTCTGAATACGCAAGCCTGACTAGCAGCGCGGCCGCGGCGCGTCGAACCCGCTGCCGCATGTGCCAGGCAGGTTCGGGACATGATCTGCCCGCCGCGCCTATAGCGAGAGCGCTGTTGGCCTGCCTGGGGGGCCGGCGCGCTAGGCAACGAGGCCAAGCCGAGGGGGGCCTGAGCCTGGGCGGCCTGCGGAGGAGGAGGAGGAGGAGGAAAAGGGTGAGGAGGAGGAGGAGGAGGAAAAGGAGGAGGAGTCCGGGCATTCTGAAGAAAGGAAAAGGGCAGGCGGCCACGAGCACGAAACGAGAAGAGGGCAAATGAGTTTGTCTCGCCCGCTGCGTACTCGGGCCTAGCTCATCTACCTGTAAGCTGGGCTCTCGGAGGAAGAACCACATGATGAAGTACTTGTGTGTGGAGGCGTAGATGGAGCTGGCGCTGGACTGCTCGCATTCGCCCACTCCGTCAGCTCCTCGATCGCGGGAAACTCGTACGGCGCAGGCTTCAGAGACATGGCGCAGGTGTCCAGGAGCTTCGAGAAGGCGTTGCAGCAGCTGGCGTTCCTGATGCTGGTGAGGAGCGAATCGTGGTAGCTGCCGAGCTTGGAGTCCAGACTGCCGCCGAAGTCAGCCCGTGACGGCTCTCGACCTTGGAAGTGTTGGACGTGTTGTTCGATGTTGTCAACCTGCTGCTGCGCCTCGTCGTACTCGCACTCGATGAGCTTCACCCGTTCGTCGAGCTCGGTCTTGAGCTCGGGGAGCAAGTTGTTGATCTGCAGCCTGAAGGCGCTAAGGGACCGTTTCGTATCCGTGTCGGCGTACGCCTTGACCTCCAGTAACTTCTGGTCGAACATGGCGCGGATATCGTGCCGCATGTTGTCGGGCAGCGAGGTCGGGCCGCGGAGGGGCGGCGGGCGCTGGTGCTTGAGAGACTCTTCGAGCACCTCGGTGATCACAGCCTTGGACTGCACGAGATTGGTGTGGAGGCTCTTGAACATCATGTCGTTGAGCGTGGCGGCCACAGGGCCAAGCGCATCCATCGTGACGAAGTTGGCATTCATGGTGGCCCGAATCGTGTCGGCAGCATTCTGTACCTTCGCATCGATAGTGGTAATGAGCGAGCGCTGGAGCATGGAGATTTTCTCGTCGATCGTGGAGAGCAGGCTGTCGCTGTGCAGCGCGGCGTGCGTGAGCGTGAACTCCAGCAGCGCAGGGAGCGAGTTGTTCTTCTTGTCGAGGAAGAGGAGGAGTAGCGGAGGAGGAGGAGGAGGAAGAGGAGGAGGAGGAGGAGGAGGAGGGGGAGGAGGAGGAGGAGGAGCGGGAGGAGGAGGAGGAGGAGGGGGAGGAGGAGGAGGAGCGGGAGGAGGAGGAGGAGGAGGAGGGGGAGGAGGAGGAGGAGGACCTGTGGAAACTGAAGAGTCATCGACGATGTTGGAATTAGCCTTCCCTCCAAGTTCCCTCTGCACAGGCCCCTACAACGGTTCATTTCCATTCAGGGACCTGCCTCGCTGGAAAACAATACATTGAAGATCCTGAAGCGTGCCAAAACATTGTTTTCGGGATTTCAACGCCACGTATCAACCTGACAGCTGCGTCATGACGATCCAGAATCGTGCCAGAACGGCGAGAACCACATGTTGAAAACCACCCGCCCTCAATCCGTGAAACCCTTGCCATTTCTGTTGAACGAATGTGCGAATCGCTAAGGCGAGAGCCACATGTTGAAAACCACCCGCCCTCAATCCGTGAAACCCTTGCAAATGTGTATAACGAATGTGCGCGGCGCCAATGCGAAAGCCACATTTTGAAATCGACCCGCCCTCAATCCGTGAAGTTCTTGCCTTTTGTTTCAAACGAATGCGCGCGGCGCGAAAACGAGAGCCACAGTTTGAAAGCGGCCCGCCCTCCATCTGTAAAACTGCTGTCATGTTTTAAGCTTCGAAGTCATAAATGGTGAGGTAGTCTCAGGCGAAACGCCCGGCCCTCCCTAAAAACTGGCCTCAGGGTGCGACAGGGAGGAGTTATCTATAAGGAGAAAGAATGGAGGAGGAGGAGGAGGAGGAGGAGGAGGAGGAGGAGAGACGACGGAGGAGGGGGGGGCAGGATGGAAGGAGGGAAGGAAGGAGAGGGGGAAGGCGGGGAGGCGGCACCGACGCCCACGGCCCACACGCAGGAGCCGTCTTCCCGAACGAAGGCGTCCACCTCTGCACGGGAGGGTCGGAAACTGATCCACCTCTCTCAGCTTTCCCTCCCTGGGCTTGGGGTGTGTTGTGCGTTGTGAGTGCGTGTCTGTGTCTCTGTCTGTGTCTGTGTCTGTGTCTGTGTCTGTGTCTGTGTCTGTGTCTGTGTCTGTGTCTGTGTCTGTGTCTGTGTCTGTGTCTGTGTCTGTGTCTGTGTCTGTGTCTGTGTCTGTGTCTGTGTCTGTGTCTGTGTCTGTGTCTGTGTCTGTGTCTGTGTCTGTGTCTGTGTCTGTGTCTGTGTCTGTGTCTGTGTCTGTGTCTGTGTCTGTGTCTGTGTCTGTGTCTGTGTCTGTGTCTGTGTCTGTGTCTGTGTCTGTGTCTGTGTCTGTGTCTGTGTCTGTGTCTGTGTCTGTGTCTGTGTCTGTGTCTGTCTGTGTCTGTGTGTCTGTGTCTGTGTCTGTGTCTGTATTTGTGTGTCTGTGTGTCTGTGTGTCTGTGTGTCTGTGTGTCTGTGTGTCTGTGTATTTGTGTGTCTGTGTGTCTGTGTGTCTGTGTGTCTGTGTGTCTGTGTGTCTGTGTGTCTGTGTGTCTGTGTGTCTGTGTGTCTGTGTCTGTGTCTGTGTCTGTGCCTGTGCCTGCGTCTGCGTCTGTGTCTGTGTCTGTGTCTGTGTCTGTGTCTGTGTCTGGGTCTGTGTCTGTACCTGTGTCTGTGTTTGTGCCTGTGCCTGTCTGCGTCTGTGTTTGCGTCTGCGTCTGCGTCTGCGCCTGCGTCTGCGTCTGCGTCTGCGTCTGCATCTGCGTCTGCGTCTGCGTCTGCGTCTGCGTCAGCATCTGCGCTTGCGTCTGCGTTTGCGTCTGCGTATGCGCCTGCGTCTGCATATGCGTCTGCGTCTGCGTCTGTGCCTGTGCCTGCGTCTGCGTCTGCGTCTGCGTCTGCGTCTGCGTCTGTGCCTGTGTCTGCGTCTGCGTCTGCATCTGCGTCTGTGCCTGTGTCTGCGTATGCGTCTGTGTCTGTGTCTGAGTCTGTGTCTGTGCTGTGTCTGTGTCTGTGCCCGTGCCCGTGCCGCGCCCGCGCCCCGCGCCCCGCGCCCGCGCCCCGCGCGCCCGCGCGCCCGCGCGCCCGCGCGCCCGCGCGCCCGCGCGCCCGCGCGCCCGAGCGCCCGTGCGTCCGTGCGTCCGTGCGTGCGTACATTCGTGCGTGCGCGCGCGCAGGCGCGCGCGCGCGCCCGCGCAGGCGGGCGGGCGGGCGGGCGGGCGGCGTGCGTGCGTGCGTGCGTGCGTGCGTGCGTGTGTGTGCGCGTGCGCGCGCGTGTGTGCTGGTGTGCGTGCGTGCGTGTGTGTGTGCGCGTGCGCGCGCGTGTGTGCTGGTGTGCGTGCGTGCGTGTGTGTGCGCGTGCGCGCGCCTGTGTGCTGGTGTGTGTGTGTGTGCGTGTGCGTGTGTGTGTGTGTGCGTGTGCGTGTGTGTGTGTGTGTGTTGCGTGTGTGTGTGTGGTTGTACGTGTGTGCGTGTGCGTGTACGTGTGTGTGTGTGCGTGTGCGCGTGTGTGTGTGTGCGTGTGTTGCGTGTGCGTGCGTTTGTGCGTGTGTGCGTGTGTGTGTGCGTGTGCGCGTGTGTGCGTGCGTGTGTGATGTGCATTTGTGCATGTGCGTGTGTGCGTGTGTGTGTGTGTGTGTGCGAGTGTGTGTGTGTGCGTGTGTGCGTGTGTGTGTGTGTGCATGTGTGCGTGTGCGTGTGCGAGTGCGTGTGCGTGTGCGTGTGTATGTGCGTGTATCGTGTGTGTGCGTGCGCGTGTGGCGCCGTGTGTGCGTGGCGTGTGTATGTGTGCTTGTGCATGAGCGTGTGCGTGTGTGTGTGCGTGTGTTGTGTGTGTGCGGTGCGTGTGTGTGTACGTGTGTATGCGCATTTGTGCATGTGCGTGTGTGTGTGTGCGTGTGTGTGTGCGTGTGGTGTGTGTGTGTGCGTGTGTGTGTGTGTGTGTGTGTGCGTGCGTGCGTGCGTGCGTGTGTGTGCGTGTGTGCGTGTGCGCGTGTGTGCGTGTGCGTGTGTATGTGCATTTGTGCATGTGCGTGTGCGTGTGCGTGCGCGCGTGCGCGCGCGTGCGTGTGCGTGTGCGCGTGCGCGCGCGTGTGTTTGTGCGCGCGTGCGCGTGCGTGCGTGCGTGCGTGCAACGTGGCGAAGCTTCGGCGGACCCACCCGGCGCACGGGGCGCCCACGGCAGCGGGGCCGCACCTCGGCGGACCCAGCCAAGTCCCCGGGGGGACAAGGAGGAGCCCCGAAGTGCGAGCACTGCTTGGGGAAGAGATGACAAGACTGCTGCCCTGCTCTCCCCCCCTCCTCGTCTTCCCCTCCTCGTCCCTCTCCCCCCCTCTTCGTCCTCCTCCTCCACCCTCTCACCTCCTCCTCCTCCTCCTCCTCCTCCTCCTCGCCCCTCCTGCTCCCCAGCGTCCTCCGCCACCTGCTCCTCAGCATCCTCGCCGTCCTCGTCGTCGCCGTCTTCAGGGTCGGCGGCACCAGCCGCAAGGCCTTCGCAAGAGAGGACAAGAGTGCTGCCTGGAAGGATCTCACGATAATTTTAGTTCTGCTGGCGGGCATCTCGGCACCGGTCGAGTGCGAGCGCTGCGACGGTAGCGTTGGCTGCCCGCTGAAAGCTTTCTGGCATCGTGATTGGACTGTTGCCTGGAAGGACCCCCCCCTGAGGACGCGAGGCGGCATATCCCCGAGGAGCACCGGCACACTCTGGGCCCGGCCGCTCTGAGGTGCAGGGGTGCGCGAGGCGGTTCGGGAGCTCCTTCTTGAGATCGGGCAACCCCAGCCCGCTGGGTGGGGAAGAAGAAAGGGACGCCCTGAGAACGAACAAAAGCCTCCTCCTCCTCCTCCTCCTCCTCCTCGGGCACGGGCGGGGGTGCGCTCGAACCTGCCAGGGCCTCGCGCACGGGCGAGGGCAGAGGGAGAGAGGCGGGCCCAACAAGAAACAACAACAGAAACAAGGGATGAAGAAGAAAGGACGCCCGGATAATGAACTCTCGGAGATCCGCGCTGACTTCTGGGATCCGCTCTGGAATCTGGAACCCCACCCCATCCCTGGGCGGCGCTGGAGGCGCCGCCTAGGGGGCAGCAGCGCCGACACGAGAAATCCGCGCGGACCTCCGAAAGTGTACATCTATGTATGTGTTCCTCCTTCGAGAGGACGGCATCATGGTGTCGTGGCGACCTGGGCGTTGGCTTCTGACACCGCGTGGACCGACCAGCCTTGAACAACATCGGCTCACCGATCAAGCGCATCGCTCGACATCGCGATCGGCACGGAGTCGGAATAGAATTGGGTCGACCGCGCCAGGATGCACACGAGCGCCGTGCAAGGCTCGGGCCGCATCGCATCGCCAGAGCATCGGACTCGATGATGCCTCGTCGTCTGGCTTTCTAGAGGCCTCCCAGATGGGGTCCAAGCAGATGGAGTCGGAGGATTGCGCCGCATCGCCGATGGATCACCGATGCATCACCGATACATCGGCGATGCATCCGCGAGGTCGGCGATGGAACGGCGACGTCCGCGTGAAGCAAGTCGGGCTGCATATCGAGCCGCATCGGCGATGCATCAGCGATGCGGCGCGATCCTCCGACCCCATCTACTCCGACCCCATCTGGGAGGCCTAGACTTTCGGGTCATAACTCGTGTCTCCGGCGGTCGTTCAAGGCGACCTGAGCACCCCCAGAACGCTCGTGGCGAAGCGCAGCTGCTGGAAAGCATCCCAGGGCTGGAAGACCGCCGATAACCGACACAACCTTGAACACCGAACCTAAACGAGATCCGACGTCGCGGAAAAGTTTTCATATCGCGAAATATCGCGACCATAGCCCTAGACACAATCTTTCTGCAGCATTTTTCGAGCTGGATCGATCTGTGATGGCCCCGGTGTCCGAAATCGGGCGAAAACGCCCAGTGTGAAAAAATTGCAAGGCCGGATCTTAGGGGACGACGACGACGACGACGACGACGACGACGACGGACGACGACGACGACGACGACGACGGACGACGACGACGACAACGACGACGACGACGACGACGACGACAACGATGACAACGACAACGACAACGACAACGACAACGACAACGACAACGACAACGACGACGACGACGACGACGACGACGACGACGACGGAAGACGACGACGACGACGACGACGACGACGACGACAACGACAACGATGACAACGACAACGACAACGACAACGACAACGACGACGACGACGACGACGACGACGACGGACGACGACGACGACGACAACGACGACGACGACGACGACGACGACGACGACAACGACGACGACGACGACGACGACGACGACGACGACCGACGTCGTCTTGAGGCCTCCGGTGCGAAGGAGTTGCAACGCCCAGATCTCAGAGCTCGAACGTCGATGAGGACTTCTCAGACCCGCGCCCCCGCCTTGTACCACAGGCCCTCCCTGCACCACGGGCCCCCCAGCTCGGTGAGCTGGCGGCGCAGGTGCTCGTCCTGGCTGGCGGCCACGTCCATGGTGCGGCCCCCTCCTCAGAGGCAGGGAAAGCTCCAGATACCCGAAAACGAAGCTCGGCGGTGGACAAACCTCCCTTCAGCAAATCTCCCTTTAGTGAAAACGGCGTGGGACCGAAACCGACTGACCTGGACCCGCAGAACTGACGGCCGCGACGCCCCCTCGCGAACCGAAAACGGCCAATTCCTGAATCGACGTGTCAGGGTAGGACGTCTATCAACCTCCGAAGGGAAATTCGACTACATTTCCAGCACACGGAATATGTTTATAGTCCGTGCGGCACCCATCTGCGCCCAGGCCGCCTGCAGTGAATGACGGGAGGCTGCTTGAGATTTCGACATCATCTGGCAGAATGCGTCCCCCATACCAAAAAAAAAAAAAACACGAGGACAACGCCAGAGCGGAAACAGAATCGTACACGCATCGATCGGGCATCTCTGCGATCAGGCGGGTCAGGCGGACATCTCGGGCGCCGCGGCCTCCTCGGAGCGCTCCGGAGCGCTCCGAGAGCGCTCCCGAACGCTCTGGAGCGAATGACCCATGCTCCAGCCCCGCCCGACACTGAAGGGGCCCTGGGACACACAAGTAAATAGACACAAATAGCAGGATTCCCCACATTTTCGTGCACATTTATATACAAGTGGCACGTGTGTGCCCAGGCTCATACAACAAACTGAAGGGGCGTTTGAAGCAGGAGTGAAATGCAACATCGAAGTCGCACTCGAGCGCAAGTGGGGTTGCCACACCTTGCGATGTGTGTACCAGGGCCCCCAGGAAGCCTTAGGAGGCCCGACTTGGATACCAGAAGAGGCTCCAGGAGGCCCCAGGATTGTGAGTGTTGTGCGTGTGTGTGTGTGTGTGTTTGTGATGTATGCTTCGTGTCGTGCGTGCTTTTTGTGTTGTAGGTGTTGTGTGTGTGTTATGTTTGTCTAGCGTGTGATGTGTTGGGCGTGATTTGTGTCTCTATGTGCATGTAGCTCTGAAGCCCCAGGAGGCCCCAGGAGGCCCCAGGCGGCCTCAGGAGGCCCCAGGAGACCCCAGGAGGCTTCAGGAGGCCCCAAGAGGCTCCAGGAGGCCGCAAGAGGCCCCAAGAGGCCCCAGGAGGTTTCAGGACACCCCCAGGAGGCTCCGAGGCGGGGTCTGGGGTGCCAGAAGGTTCAGAAGGCCCAGGAGGCCCCAGGAGGTTCCAGGAGGCCCCCAGGAGGCTCCGAAGCAGGGTCTGGGGCTCGATTTTGGAAGGATTTTTCAAGCGAAACCGCCATTCACTGAGAATCGGGGTCACAATTATTGAAATTACCATGTGTTTTTGAAGGTTTTATGTTAAAATGGTGAATTTCCCATGTGTTTTTGGACCCTGACGTCGCGATCTGCGTGAGGGGTGCCACCGATTTTCAGAATTTCGAGAATGTCCCAAGCGAAACGCCCAGAAAAATCGCGGACGCGTGCGCACCAATCGCCTCTGAGCTCTACTCCCTCGGAGAGGTGCGTATGAGAATATATATATATATATATATATATATATATATATATATATATATATGGGTCTTTGTCTCCCCCCCACATTCCATATCTTCCCATATTGTCTGGAGAATCGACGATTACTTGCGTCTGTGCGTTCTTCCCCTCCTGAGACACCCCCCTCGCCTCGCGTCGCGCACAAAAACGCGACGGACGGCTGTCGGCCGTCTCCCGACTCCAGGGGCCCCAGCCAGGCCGCAGGACCTTCCGGAAACGACGCGGGAGATACGGAAACTTTTTTGGTCTTTGGGGCGAGAGCGAACCTCTTCCGCTAAAAGCTAGGCGGGCTACGCACAGCTTCAATTAGGGAGACAGGGCACAGGAAGGCGGGGCCTCAGGCGGCCAGAGCTGGCGGGACCCGGGGCGCAGGCGGTGCCGAAGAGCTTGCACAAGAAAACGTACGCCGCGGACAGGGACTGGGGGCGAAGACCCAGAAGGCGAAGGAGATGGTGTTGCCGCGAACGGCACGTCGCGAACGCCAGCCTCGAGCACTGCAGAGGAGGACGCGCCATTTGACCAGGTCGACGCCCAGGAGAGAGAAGAGCACCACGAGGGCGATGAGCAACGTTGTGCCACCGGATGATGCGGAGGAGGCCCAGGAAGAGGAGGAGCACCACGAAGGCGATGCGCAACGTTGTGCCACCGGGTGATGCGGATGAGGCCCGGGGCGGTCCACGACCAACTAGTAGCCTGCTTGAGGTGCGGCCACGGACGAGAGGGCCGTACATGACCGACAGGATGTCGGTGGAATGCAGGGAGAAAGCCTGCCCTGCACCGTCAGCGCGTGAAGACGGGCAGCAGCCACACACGACGCGCTGACATCCGCACTGCCGAGGGCCGGGCCTGAGCCGCGCAGCGCCATGGCGAGCGGGGCCGCCGAGGCGGCAAGGTGCAGCGCCCAGCACCAGGCCGAAGCCGCGCTGTGCCGGGCGCTGCCGCCATGGGAGGGGGGGAAGCGAGCGGGGGGGGAAGAAGCGAACAGGGAGGACAAAGGCCGGCGCGCCACGCCAGCCGTCGTCGTGCCAGCCCGCACCGTAGGTGCTCACGTGGGGGGAATGGGCCTCGATGGGTACAGGTAGGACACACGGTCCAAGAACATGTTGAAGACAGGTGAGGGAGGAGGGGGGAGCAGGTACAGTCGGAGACCAGGTGGACCAGCAAGCGGTCGCTGCGCGTGGGTCGTGCTCGTCTCAAGTGCTGTGGGTGTACAGGTAGGGGGGGGAAGGAGGACACACGGTCCCACGACGGGTGAAGAGGGAGAGGGAAGGGGGCACAGGTGGTGGGTGTGGCCAGCGGTGGGTAGGACCTTGACCTTGCCGCAAGTTGTGGGAGCGTAGGAAGGCGGTCGAGTCGCGCGAGCAGGGGGACACACGGTCCCAAGCTAAGTGAAGAGGGAGGGGGAAGGGGGAACAGGTGGTGGGCGTGGCCAGCAGTGGGTAGGACCAAGACTTTGCCGCACGTTGCTGGGAGCGTGGAAGCGGTCGCGGCGTGCTGTGTCAGTGAGGGGGGGGCCCGGTTGCAGGCTGGTCAGCGCCTAGGGCGCTTTCCAGTCCAGCTGTCAAGAACCGGAAACACACACACACACAAACACACACACACACACACACACACGGCTGGATTCACATGTGAGCGACAATCAGAGAGAGGGGTCTTACGCGAGATGGCATAATGAACTTGCCTTACGCGGCGGCTTACGCGGCCACCCAGCGCGGCACGCGTCTTTGGAGACGAGGGCGCTGATGCGGGCAGCTTGCGCGACAATGTCGGCGAAGACGAACCCGTTCTCTTGCGTCGCTTGTGTGAGCGACGAAGGGAAGCGGGTCTTGTGCGAGAAGGCTTAGCGGCCTTTCGCCGCCGCTTGCTCGGGCCGCCAGCGCGGCACGACCACGCTGGAAACGAGGGTGCCGACGCACGGCGTCCTGCAGGACGCTCGCGCGCGGAGGTTGGCGCAGTCGACTCCGTGCTCTTCCCGCGCTCACCTCCTCTCGCTGCGGGCAGGCACTGGGACGGGCGCCCAGGGCATGCACGCACGCCGATCCCGGCCAGGCTCCGCCTGGGCCCAGGAGGAGGAGGAGGAGGAGGAGGAGGAGGAGGAGGAGGAGGAGAAGGAGAAGGAGGAGGAGGAGGAGGAGGAGGAGGACCAGGAGAGGAGGAGGCATGGGCGTCGGTGCCTACGCCCTCCCCGCTGGGCCAGGGAGGCACGGACGCCGCTCCTGGGCCCAGCAGGGGGCCGGCCAGGATCGCGGCGTCGTGGGCGCCCCCTCTGCGCCGAGGGGGCAGTGCCGAGGCCTCGCCTTCTCGAGCCTGCCCCTGGGCGCCTCGTGGGCGCCCAGGGCTGGGGGGTATGCGGAGGTTTCGCCTGGTGCCCGCCGTCGGGCGGCTCGTGGGCGCTCCACGCCATTTGCTCCATATATATATATATATATGTATATATATGTATATATATATGTATATATGCTTGTATGCATGTATATATGCATGCATATATGTATATGTATATTTAGATGTATGCATGCATGCATGCTTGCATGCATACATACATACATACATACATACATACATGCATGCATGCATGCATGCATACATACATACATACATACATACATACATGCATGCATGTATACATACATACATACATACATACATACATACATACATACATACATACATACATACATATATACATACATGCATGCATGCATGCATGCATACATACATACATACATGCATGCATACATATATGCACATACATGCATGCATGCATGCATGCATACATACATACATGCATGCATGCACGCATACATACATACATACATGTATACATACATACATACAAACAAACATACATACAAACAAACAAACAAACATACATACATACATACATACATGCCTACCTACATACATACCTGTCTGCATGCATACATACATACGTACATACATGCATACATACATGCATACGTGCATGCATGCATGTATACATGCATGCATGCATACATACATGCATGCATAATTACATACATACATACGGACAGGTAGTCATTCATACATACATGCATACATACATACATGCATACATGCATACATGCATACATTCATGCATGCATACATGCGTGCATGCATGCATACATACATACATACGTATATGCATACCTACAAATGTGTACATGTACATGCATAAATGTGTGTGTATGTATAGATGCATGTGTATGTATGTGTTCCTCCTTCTTCTCTGTATCCTCCTCCTCCTCCTCCGCCTCTTCCTCCTCCTTGTCCTCCTCCTGTTCCTTTAAATATATGTGTGTAAATATGTACGTATGTAGGTATGTATGTATGTATGTAAATATGTATATATGTATATATGTGTATATATATGTATGTAAGTATGTATACATGTATTTGTATGTATATATGTGTACAGTGTGTATATGTATATGTGTGTATGTGTATATAATTATAGATATATGTGTGTATATTTATATGTCTATATATACACAAATG